TCGTCTATGTAAACATCCTATGGGACAAGGGAAGCACCAGCTTGTAAGCTATTCCCATAAGAAAACTTTGACTTCGACTTTGACTACGTAACCAGATGAACACCGCTGGGCAAGAGAGGAAAGGATAAATGTAACACAAAAAGAGTTCATTTTATTCAGCAGCACATGCAATGTTACACATTGAAGTTGAATAACAGGCAAGTTGAACCTATACAACCAACACTACCTGGGGTGGAATAAAGATTTTTCATCGCTTTACAAGTCTGAAAAACTGATTTTTAATTCAATTGGATCAAAGCTAGTAAGGGGGTGGCACAGATGATTTAGTAAGGCTGTATGTTCAAACACAACTATGGGAGGCAAGGGAAATAAATATTCGAATCACTTCATAAAAAACCTATTGTGATACTGCGTAACCTCGATCGAATTTTTCAGATACTGTAATAATAAATACGATATTGGCACTGATACTGCGAATGACCTTCTTCTAGCTTTAACAGGTAAATCCCATGCACGCCTGTCTGATTTCAAACAGTCGGGCAAAAAAGCATATGTGGAATCTGTCAGGTGAGGACGCGCACGATGTATACAAACAGACGAAACAGAACGAACATAGATTAACAGTTGTGTAGACTTTCTTTGGATAAACACACATTTATTGTGCGGAAAAATCGATGACCATTGGGATGGATCATCTGACTTGGTGACTGTGTAGGTGAAATGGTGCATACAATGAATGGAGGTCGATGATTCATGCGATCAGTCGATCGCATTGGGTTTTCCACGGTGGGCACTATCTAATCATATTAACAAAACGGATGAAATGGATGGATAACGAACAGGAAAATAAAACCTTTTATCCTCCGGAGCTTTCAAAAGGGTCTAACAGTTCGAGGTGGATTGTATCACCACACACAAGAAGATCACATTGATGATTGTTACATTGTTTTGATCAATAAAAGATCGCTTAAAACCGGGAAATAAACCCTTAGTTTTCGTGAAATCAACTGGACTCGTCAACATTAACAGGATAGGTCTACAAGTATGACAGACTAACCTACGAGGTGGAGCTTAATCGTTAAACTCAAGTTCACTTAAAACATAAACGAGATTATCACAAAGCTTAGTCCGGGGAGCACATTGAAATGCACTTACTTCAACCATTTAAAAGAGAGTCCATGCATGATATCGTGCGTAGGAGGTGAGCAACGGACTATCAAAGCATCAGTATGTTTTGGTGTCACGTATGTTGCGAGTGTATTTTGAATAGGTATATCAAAACCATTCGCAAACCAGTCGTAACCGAAAAACCGCTCAGCAGGCGGACTAAGCTATACTGAGGGTAGTTTGGACGCCAAAAAGGGTTACCGTTGTTAGGAGTAACACTTTAGAATAAAAAAATGCTCAGTAGTGTTAAGCACGCCATTTCATATTGAAACTCCATGATTTTCCGATATTTATCGGGGGTGAAGGGCAGGTCAAAATACGAGCGGACAGAGGAAAGTTGGTTTTAACTCGGACCATGAAAACAAGATCGGATCACTATAGGCGCCAACATTGCCATCAACTGCCGTGCATGAAAAGCTGTCCACCGAGACATTCAGGTATCCGAAGAGCACTTTCAAGAAAGTAACCCGTGCTCTAACATTTTGAGCATTTTTATTGTCTCAAAAAGGAAGGTGGATCATATAGTTCGAAGACGGCCACTAGGAGTTCAAAATATCCTAATTGATAAGAACAAACTGTCGGAGAAACCATGACGACAAAAGGATGGTCTAAGTATATAGTATAACACTTAGTAGTAGTGCCCCGGTTTTGTTTGCGGTCTATTCGGATGAAGCAGTAGGTGCAAAATAGAAAAGTTGAAGTACAGTCGAAGAGAAAATGGAGAACTTTCGGGCATCAACATTCCAAGGAAATTGAGAAGAATCGCGAACGCCACTGTTTATGACACAAAGCCATATCACTCACTGTCCTACCCACCGGTTGGCACGACCTCAAGCTCCCCATCCAGTAAGCATTACACGATCGATATGACCGAGCCTCTTGGTTAGAATTTTCATACCATCGTGCCAGGTTTTATTTTGATCACCCTTGACTTTTTTCCACCCACTGCTTGCTTCGGCAAACATTGCGCGTCGTGGTAACCTATTTGGTGACATGTATACCAATGTTCCAACCAAAGTAGTAGCAGTGGTAGTAGCAGCAGTATAGTTTATGTCGTGTGTGGAAACAAAATATGATGATGCTTCGGATATTCAATCAGAAAAAGCTTAACTGAAAATTCAAAAATGTTTTATAAATCCGATATCTGTCATGGGTACGGGTAGAAATGGTCGCACCGTCTTTTAATCTGAATGAAAATGCTGATAAATTACACTGCTATTACGATTCCGGGTTACATAAAACAGGAATTTATCATTCATTCAAACCCACCATTGACAAGCATAGTGCTTACGCCACAATAATAACAGGAGCTGGTTGGATTGGGATACAGAACAGAGTGAAAAGAATGCGAAACTGTTAAAATGGAAAGTTGTAGATAACTGGGACAACAATTTTTTGTGTTTCGCCGTACACTTTTTGATATTTTTTGTGTTAATTAATCGTTATATTTTGTGGGCCACGGGATTTCAACAGGCAGACCGTACAGCATTCGCGCCACTGACTTCTACTCTGGTCCATATCTCTGTGTCTCTAACCAACGACAATCCTCATCCCTAGGGCCCCAACCTGGAAGGCGGGCTGCACCAACCGAAGCCAAAGCTGAATTCAGCTTCTTTATGCCGCTACGTGATGTCATGGTCTGACCGCCGCTGTGCTTCTTCCAGCATGCCCAGCACGTGAACAGTGATGAAATAACAACCGTATAGGATAAATTTTTACATAGAAAGTTAATAAAATTTTCAATGATAGAAAAATTCTGTGAACGACGTGATTCATAATAGCGCAATAATGGTGGTTCAATGCATATGGGTCAATGCATTTAGATTTCGATACATGCCGGAAAACCTAGGTAAACACGCCGGTCGCTGTGGTGCAGCAGACTGGATGCCAATAAAACCATGGTGCGATCGGAATAGACGAAGTACAAAGGGTACAGGATCACCAGATACTTGCAACTGATTCACTTCGGAGTACGATGAGGGGCAACCTCAGGATCAGAGAACGGTACCTATATCTTGGTGCCATCTATACCTTTTATTCCTGTGATAATGAACATCGTGCTGTAATCAACAATGACAATGTTTTTCCATACTACATTTGAATGCTACAACAAAAAAACGAACTACGAGACAGGCAATCGTTGTTTGTAATATCATCTCATTTTTCGACAATTATTCTTGCAGAAGTCGTGTTAATAAAATATCTTTCAGTACTTTTCTACGATCCCCAAGGAAAGAAACAGACTGACAGTTAGGCCTGCGCAGAAACTGGACATCAAAGCTTACTCACCTGAAGCACAAATTTCGTATCAAAATACCGCTTCGCCACATTCGGCTGGAAAGACGGAGACTCGATGAAGCGCAGAAGGAATTCATAAACCAACTGAAACAATCCCGGCGTTCAATGACAGACATCCAGGAAAGCATGAAGACAAGACAGTGATAGAAAAGCACAAAGCGGCAATGAGTAGGTTACCACAGAAGACATATGCACGGGGTTACATAGATGGCTGCTATATCATCCGGCCTACTACTGGTGTCAAGTAAATTAATAACATCATATTTGAATATCAATTTCAAAGTACATTTAGGTCATCCATTCATTCAGAAAAACGACTGGGTGCTTTATTTTATGACCTGATTTATTTAACACCTCTTATTGTATCCACTGCAACAACGTTAGACTCATTCACTAATTCTCTGTTGTTTATCGGCTTCCTTGGGATTGCATCTGTCGGCTCTCTGACCATGATTCCTGCACTTTAACGTAATGCGCAAACCGCCATACATCATTATCAAGTGCTGAACCCATAGTGGTTATCATATCACGCATTTGAAAATTGGAAAATGGAATTCCAAGAACAGCAGTGAACAAGCAAGCCCGTCAAGTCCAATCAGATAAAACTTTATAGCTGTTGAATTTCTATGCACGAGTTAATCACAAACTGGTAAGAAACACAACTTAGTGAGGTCACTAAAATTGCCTTGCTTATGGAGCACTATTAAAACGAAAGTAGGGTAAAATACAGTTGCCTCTTTCACTTAAGTCACTTAAGTCTTCAGTATCACTTCGGAATTCTATCCATCAGCATATCGATTCCAGATTATTTTTAAATGAGTCATTTACTCCCGTCAACCACCATTGGAGATTAAAATTTCATCCCAGTTTCATCCTATAAGCAGGCAATCGCCTAAAATGAGGTATCAAAAAGATTCAGAGTTTTCGAAAAGAATCAAGGCGCATAAAAATCAAGGTACGGAGGTTGATCACACTGATGTAGAGATAACATTCCGAAACTAAAGCTGACTTTTGACGCGAATCACATAGCAACATCACACTATAAACTGAGAATGTCATACACACAATTTTGATAACTGTCTACGAAATGGAAATCACAAGTTGGACAAAAGGACAGATCACCTGCAAATGAGGCCAGGCTGCTTCCAATGTGGGTTCGTCTTCTTCTGGGTCAAATTCAGCTCCAGAAGGGTTGCTCGGTGGAGGTAGAGTGCGAAACAAATTGGCCTCAATCATTCGCACCACTTCAGGGTACATGGCATCGGTGATTGCGTTGGGATTGTCCACTAGATACTCAGTTAACTCGTGTAAGGCTGCTCGTTTAACTTCTTTATCCCGCAAATCACTCAAAGTGTCTGGAGCGAAGTCAAACACCACGCAGCACTGGCGCAACTTTTGGATGAACAACTCTTCTCGCTTTTCTGGGGTTTCGGCCTCTGTGTGAGAGATAATCAAAGACCTTTATTAAAATTAGTCTCACAAGAAAATTATGTCGACAACAAAAGCTTTTTGACCACTATAAAAATTCAACACAACCCAGAGCAATAACTAATAAACAAATGAATTTGGGGCAAATGAAAAACTCAGCAGTAAGCACAGTCTGTCGTTTAGAACGTAATGACCAAAATCATAATAATAACCCCAACAGAAAACAAATTACCTTTAGCCGAGTCATTCAGAGATATTAATGAACTGAATTAACGTACAATTTAGCTAGTTCTGTCCAAGAGAACTACCGAACAGGGTGGGTGGTGCTTTGGTTGAGAACCATTATCGCTCCGCTGCTTAGTGGGTGGACACCTCAGCAGTACCAGTCCTCACTGACCCTCTTTGAAGAGTCACTGGACAATGATGACATATTCTCTTGGACAAGCCCCTCATTCTGTGTCCTATATCACGAACAATAAAATTGTATGTAGAATGATATAGAAATAATGAAAGGGACTGTTGGGGCATTTTCTCTTCCAGCTGTTAAACAATCATCATTGACGTAATGTAATGGCCTATGCACCTCTGTGCCCCATCGAGTAAAGGATGGCATTTGCTAAGCCGAAGATCTAATCATGCCTGGAAAGTTTCAAGGCAGAGGTGAGCCAAAATTCACTATCATAATCCTCAACGTTGAGGGTTCCACCCGATTTGGAATGCCAATCAGTAAAGTGATGGGAGAGTCTATGATCCAAGTTGATGGGTCTCCACTCCGCCTTAGCCGCTACCTAGCGGTCAGATTTTTGACAAAATTAAAGGTATTGTTTGTGAACCCTAGGTTTATTACAGCTTAGTGGCTGGACACCCTAGCAGTTTCAGTTTCAGTTGGAACAACCACTAACCATGCACTTTCGTGCGCCCGTTCTGGTTGCTGTCTTTTGGTTGCCCATTTGGATGTCAGTAGATGAAAGACAGAAAAGATGAAAGTGGAGTCGAATAGAAAATGGAGAATTCAAGTGGACTGTTACTGTAAAGAAATTGAGAAGGTGCACGAACGCCACTGTCTACGACACTCAGCCATATCACTCAGTGTCTCTAACTACCCTAGCAGTACACATCCATCGAACCCCAATGCATACAAACACTGAAAATAATACCATACAGCATTCGTGGTCGAACAGGATAATTAAGACCGCGCTACCCATTGCATCGAACGGGGTGCATAAAGATAAGTGGGCTACTGTTCAGATATCACAACCTTTGTTCAACTCTTTGTCTTCTAGATCCAACCCTCGTCATTTGCACCTCCTTCGACCCGTAACATCAGACAACTTGTTTTTCACTCGTCAAAGTTCATTGCCAAATAACACTACATGTGGCTTACCACTTAATAAAGTGCATATTTTGAAGCCTCGTCAATCTCCAAATCTAGAGACCTTCAAAGAAAGGACTCTGATGCAAGGAGGGGTTCAAAATACCCGTCTAGAAAGGACAGTAGACGCCTTGGAAATTGATGTATGTTGTGTATGTGAAACACAAATTCAGGATTCTGGTATTATAAGCCACTTGAGTGCACCGGGTCTGTCCTCGAGGTATTTTTTCGCACAATAGAAGACGATGAAACCCGCTCAGTGGGACAGCTTACAGTCAAAATTACTAGACGAAGCCTCAGTATGGTTGGGGGTGGGTGTCTAGGGTTGCGGCTGGTCACCCTGC